AGCGGTGACATAAAGGATCAGCTCGGGAGGTGACCTCTAGTAGGCATGTGTTTTTTCCTTCCAGTTCTTCAGTCCCAGCCCCAGTGTATTATGCCAGGTTTACTACTTGGAATCTTTCCTATTAGATTCATTGTTAGTGTATTTTGCCACCCACTTGCCAATGGACTGAATGCCTTTTGTTTTACTAGGGATCTTTGCTGTTATATTCAAATACTGCCAATCATTCAAATGTTATTTTGTAATCCACCCTAAGTCCCAGTGAGAAAGGGGGACTATAAATGAAAACGAACCAATAAAACGGGGCGGTGATGATGCGGCCACCTACCCCCAGTCCTTGCTCAGCTGGCTTATCTGATCAACGACCACACTCTCCTGGATCTGGTACAGAGAGACGGCGGAGGAGCACAGCTCTGGGTTCCCTCCCCGGATGGCGGTCAGGTCCAGCACGCACTCCGTGAAGTCCAGCATCAAGTTCAGGTGGCGCAGGGTATCCGTGTGCTCTCTCTGAGGGAAGAGAAGGGCAGCACAGGATGGCTTAACTACCACACTCCCCATCCATCAGCAGCTGCCGCCATATCCTAACAGCAAGAACGACCACTGTGAAATACGGCACTACTGCAAAAAAGGCAAAAGTGAAAAGTGATATATATACTCAAAGCGTGATTATAATGTATTATTTCCAATATTCCATATAAGACATTCAGTACAAAAATGTAGCTATTCCCATCCAGTATCAAAGCGGCGTACAGCAAACCCTCTCAAGGGAAAAGCCGAAGGAAAATGTATGAATACAATTAATCCGTATCTGCACAGTGTCCAAAGCGCAAATGAGACGGGGCTTCCGGTTAACTCCCACGTTTTGGAGATCTGGTCCCTGCTTCAGTAAAGGAAATGTCAACATAGAATTATACATTATAGACAATACTTGACCCTGACTGTTGGTTGGATGCTCTGCCACTTTTCTCTACTGAGGAAGGGACTGGATTGCTGAAACGTGGAAGTTAACCGGAAGCCCTGTGTCGTTTGTGCAGATTTTGATTAGTTCTACTTATAGATTTTCCTTGGACCTTTTCCTTTGTGAGGGTTTTCTGCATGCCACTTTGATACCGGATGGGAATAACTATATTTTTGTACTGAATATCTTATTTGGAAAATTGGAAATAATGCATTCTAGTAACACTCTGAGTATATATATCACTTTTCACTTTTGCCTTTATTGCACGAGTGCTGTGTTCCACAGTGGTTGTTCTTGTCATATCCTGCCCGGCAGCCTACACGAAGAGCCATACTGAAGCAGAAGTGCGGCCCCTGTAGGTCACATAGTGGGCAACCTGGAGGGCCAAAAAACAGGGGGCTTTCCCCTGATGTCACCTCCCAGCACTGGCACTCAGCGATTTCCAGCTCACTGGATGCACGAGTTCCCTTTAGTGGCCACCAATGAACCTCTCCTCCATGTATCGGCCTGTTCTCCTAAAGCCATTGACACTCTTGGCCATCGCAAGATCCGCTGGCAGTGAATCCCACAATTTCATCATTCGCTGAGTAAAGAAATATCTCCTCTTGCCTACCACCAATGGGCTTTGCGGAGGATGCCCAGAGAGTAGCTGGAGGATAATTGGGTTCCTCCAGGGACATACGAGAGCATCTAATAGATTTGCCAGTCCAGTCCCCCTGGGGCTGTCCACTGAGACGGAAGGGACCCGCACGGGAGTCCGCCGGCAAAGCAGAACGGCGGCAAGCGGGAGCTGTGAAATCAGCTCAGCCACAAGCACAACGGGTGTCCTCAGGCAGGCCGCTATTTTCCCCAGCAAGCCTAACAGATAGCAAACAATAGGTCCAGCCGGCCTCATGGGGAGGCTGCAAAGGGCTAGAGATACAATGGGCATGAGGACGGTTTCAGAGGGTGAAGTTTTCGAAGCACTTCACAGACATTTAGACACAAGTCCAGCAGCACCTTAGAGACCCACAAGATTTCCAGGGGATGAGCTGTCAGGGAGACCCTCGAAAGCTTATACCCCAGAAGGGAGATTTGACCCTTGAAAGCTTGTACCCCCAAAAAACCTTGCAGCTCTCCAAGGTGCTAGTGGACTCAAATCTAAATGTCTGTGAAGCATTTTGAAAACTTCATTTATTCGACTGAATTTCAAAAAAACAACAACACCCCAATCTGATGCCTCTATTATTGGTTTTAAAATGTTCCCAAACGGGGAAGACATTAATGGGACAACCCATTCATCGCCCTTTAAAAATTCTGCACCGAAGTCTGCTCTTTTAAGAGGAGGGATGGACCTCACAGCAGGCAGACGACAGCTAATGGGCATTTATAACTGCCCTTTCCTGCTGCTCCTCATCTTTAAAGCAACAAAACATTGACAGAATTTTGGGGAGATGGTGAACAGGGTCAAATAAACATTTCTTGGTATTTCTACAAGCACTTTTCGAGCCAGTGTTGTGATTTATTAAAAAAATATTTTTTTTCTCCTGCTTTTCGCCTGCACGACAATACTACACGACAATACACAACAATAAAGTGGGTTTCAGATCTAAAATCGCAGCATGACAATAAGATGAAAGCAGCCCCTTGGCCACTGCATACATCTCTTGCAGCCAGAAATCTGAAATCGGGGAAATCCTACTGTTTGTAGGATATCAAGAGCTCGGCTACACAATTTGACCTCCCAGGACAATACAAGAACTTGTGGGCACTCAATGAAATTGCTGAGCAGTCGGGTTAGAACGGATAAAAGGAAGTACTTCTTCACCCAAAGAGTGATTCACACATGGAACTCACTGCCACAGGAGGTGGTGGCAGCTATAAGCATGGACGGCTTCAAGAGGGAATTAGATAAACATATGGAGCAGAGGTCCATCGGTGGCTATTAGCCACAAGGTATAGATAGGAACTCTGGGGCAGGTGATGCCCTGAATTCTTGGCCCTTGGGGGGGGGGGCCAACAGTGGGAGGGCTTCTAATGTCCAGGCCCCACTGGTGGACCTCCTGATGGCACCTGGTATTTCTGGCCACTGTATGACAGAGCGTTGGACTGGATGGGCCATTGGGCTGATCCAGCATTGGCTTCTCTTATGTTCTTAGGACCTCTGGAGGCTCAGCTCCTGAGGCCTGGGCTAAATCACACATTTCTGGGCTTCAGCCGCCAGGAGGCAGCACTGAGCAGGCAGAAAAGCTCTGTCCTTGGGGTGGGGGGGGTGGGGAGAAATGCTCTTCCCAACACAGACTGCTGTCAGCTGGGAATACAGACATTAAAATTTGGGATTCTTTACATCCTTCTTGGGAAGATTTGGTTGCTTACCATCTTTTCCCAATCTGTTCTCTTTTTATTTCCTTACAAGCGCAAGGCAGCTGATGAAACAAAAGTCCAGATTCTGTGGCCCGGGAGACCCAGCCCACAACTTTTCCAAGGCAGATTTTATCAGAACTGAAAACAAAACAGTCAAACGAACTCTTTCTCATGCCCTTCTGTACCTCCATCAAAGTTTCTTCCGGTAGCTCGGGGGCTTCGAACGTGATAAAGCCCTCTAAACTGGGTGGCGAAGTGCCATAAGGCATGTACTTCAGGCACGGAGCTGCCTCTGGTCCAGGAGGAGATGAGCCCATATAGGCCCCAGGTGGAGACCCCATGTGGATGCGGCCGCTGGTCGAACAGAGAGACCCTCCAGAACTGTTGGAGCCAACTGGCGCAGGGGAGGGTGGTGGAAAGGGAAAAAAAAGACAAAGATCTGTATGTCAGTCTAAGAGACTGGTCTGGCTCATGGCCTTGGACTGAAATCCAGTAGCACAAGGCAATATCAACTGCCAGCCAGGAAAGGTCTGCACATGAAAAAGAGTCGGATTTATACCCCACCCTTTTCTTGGAGTCTCAGAGTGGCTTACGATCGCCTTCCCTTCCCCTGTCCACAACAGACACCCTGTGAGGTAGGTGGGGCTGAGAGAGCTCTCTCGAGGACTGCTCTTGAGAGAACTGATCCAAGGTCACCCAGCTGGCTACATGTGGAGGAGTGGAGAATCAAACCCGGTTCTCGGCATTAGAACCCACCGTTCCTAAACTCTACATCAAATGGGCTCTCAGTTGCAGGACTCAACAAGGACTTCTGCTCACAAATGCAGCCCTGGAGAAATGTACATTAGGGTTGGAGTTAATCTGATCCCACGGTTGGCCTCAAGTCTGTGTCTTCCTGCTGGCAAGAGGTTTTACCTACCAGCATGGTGAAGGACCCAGATTAACAGCTGGATCCCTACACCCCCATTTAATGCTGCTGCTGTCCCCGATGCAAGGTGTCTTCCACCAAGACGAGAGAATCTTCTACCGCAGGGAAGGGTCACCAGCTACCACCAGTGGAAAAGTACCCTAGGACCCAACCCTGAATAAAACCAGGATGCTAGGACTTCGCTGATGGTGAACTGAAGCTGTCAGGGCACTTCTGCAACACACAGAGAGCTCACATTTGGTTATATCAGGGGTCCCCAACCTTTTTGAGCCTGCAAGCACATTTGGAATTCTGACACGGCACGGTAGGTGAAGCAACACACTGGCTTGCCACGGGAGCTGGAGCCACCTACAGAATGATTGCCACAGCTTAAGCAACAGGGTAGATCCTCGTGTCGTGGTGGCAGCTGCTGCCAATGCAACATTTTTTTAAAAAACCCTGCACAGCCCAACGAATCTCCAATAGCCAATCAGAAGCGTTGCAGGGCAAAAGCCTGGCCCCATTCACTTTCTAAAAACACCAGGTGGGCACCAGGAAAGGTGTCGGCAAGCACCCTGTGTTACGTGCTGCTGTTTAACACACCCCAGTTATCAGCAAAGTCTAAGAATGGGGCATGTTAATCCGCCTTCCTTCAAACACTGGAGATGCACACGAGGGAGAGTCGGGGCGACTTCTCTTGACCTCGCGTCACCTCACTGCACAACAGGCACGGTTCTGGCTCCAGGCTATCGAAGCCTCACCTGACGTCGTCCTGGCTCTGAGGACCATGTGGGTGCAGGTGGGAGGAGTGGAGCTGTTTGGAGGGGATCCCACGGTGAACATCACGGCTCTTGAGCAGGTCCCGGCCCCCATGGAAGGAGTCACTGCTGCGAGGCCACAGGCCCCCGGAGGAGCTGCGGAGGAACAACCTGTCCTTGTGAAACTGGCTTGCAGATTCCCAAGTGAAGCTGAAGCTGAGCACGGGGTGAGTCGGGGAGGGCAAGGATCAGGCCCACCGAGGGTCAGCCAGCACAGCGAACCTTCCTCAGCACCTGTGACCCTCACTGGTTGTACATTCCTCTTACTGCCTTTTCCTTTACTCACTTCTTCTGGAAAGCCTCTCGCTTAACCCAGGGGCAGGCGGCCAGCCAGTGATTTTTTTAATGGATGGTTCCTGGTGCAGTGCAACACTCCCTGGCCCTTACCAATCCCACTAAATTTAATTTAATTTCTTGGTTTCACTACTTATACCCCTGCGTTTCTCCCTGACGGGGACCCAGAGCAACTTATAACATCATTCTCCCCTCTCTCAGCCTCCAGCCTGTGAAGTAGGCAAGGCGGAGTGTAGGCATGTGACTCGTCCAAGGTCACCTGAAGAGCTTCCACTGTAGAGCGGGGATTTGAACCTGGGGATCCCAGATCCTAGTCCGACACCCTAACTGCGACACCACACTGGTTCTCGCTCATTTAAATCTGATCGCATTAAATTTTGAACCTAGGCACAGTAAAACGTTTGCTTACGATTCTGCTCTTAATGAAAAGGAACATTTTCAAGTAACACGCCGTCGAGATAATCCCCAAATACATGTTCAAATCTCGGTTTTTAATTTGGAAGGTTACCGGCAGGTCATCTGCTAAGCATACTTACCAAGACACACAACACTACACCAGAATGCAGGTGGTCTATAACTGGGAAACCCCCGTTACCTGAAGCCAGCTGTTATTACAAAGCTCAGCTGCTTGGTGGGGAAATAAGACTTCTGGCACCCCACCGTCCCTCGAGAACCGGGCAGCCTTCAAGAGCCAACCCTAGAGGAGATGCCAAACTGTCGTATGTGCACCTGCGTTGACTCACATTCTTCCCTCACTACACTTGGCACTCCCTCCACCAGACTGTAAGCTCCTTGGGTGCGCAAGCTGCTTGCTTGTGAAATGCTGCCGTGCCACGGACACTGATGGCACTGTATAAATTGTGACAATTTTGATCTGCAGTATGCTGGCAGCTGCACCCAAGCCTGAAGTTCCCACACCGTTTTGGTCCATCACGTGCATACGGAAAGCAAGTAAATAGCCAGCTCCCCTTCTCGTGAGCTGAAAGCACAACATCTGCCACATACGCCCACAGTTGTCCTGCCGGCGCTGATTCCGGCAGGGTGAACAAGCAGGGACGGGCCAAGAACGGCTGGTAGGATGGGCATAAACTGAACAAGTACGCTTCCCTGTCCGCCTCAGCCAATGCCTGGATGCATGGAGAGTTCTGGTGATCCGTTTCCTTACCTGTGTCCATCGGCCGTTCAGTATTAAGGCTGTCTGTGCTGCCCTGGTAGAGCTGGCCGCCGAGAACAGTCTTCGCTTGCTGATCGGACAGCTTGCCGGTGCTTACGGATCTAGACGGAAGAGCAAAGGCCTTGAAATGGCAAAATACCAGAAATAGTAGGCAGTGATGTTCCTTTAACTCCTGAATCCATTCTATTACATTTTTGGCCTGACCACTCCTTTTCTCCTTTGCGTAACGATCTCATTTCTCCCCTACTAGTCGCTGGCAAATCTGTATTAGCTGAAGTATGGAAATCTAGGCAAATACCCTCACTTAAAGTATGGTTCCAGAAAGTGTGGGATATAGTTATTCAGGATAAAATAGCCACACAAATATTGCTGATAGAGACCCCTGGTTATAAAAATAATTTTGTGGGAAAGTGGTATCCTTTTATAGGTTATGTAAACAACAATCCCTCTGCGGAACGTAAAATATCTTCAAAACATCTGGAATTTATCTTGCTTTAGGTCTAGTGCTAAGATATGTAATGCAAATCTAGGTTTTAGTCTGTGTACGTATATGTCTATATAATGTAATTATGTTATGTTGTTGTTGATATGTTATGGTTGAATTTGTTAATAATTTTTTTTAAGGTAAAGGTAAAGGTTCCCTTGCTCGAAAGCCAGTCGAATCCGACTCTAGGGTTATGGTGCTCATCTCCGTTTCCAAGCTGAAGAGCCCGCGCTGTCCGAAGACGTTTCCGTGGTCATGTGGCCGGCATGACTAAACACCAAGGCGCATGGAAGGCTGTTACCTTCCCACCAAAGTGGTAGATCTGCGAGGTTTGCAAGAGCTGGAACTAGAGACGGGAGCTCCCTCCGTCATGCGGCACCCGGGTCTCGAACTGCTGAACTAATGACCTTCCACAGCCTGCAGTTCAGCGTCTTAACCACTTGAGCCACCACAGCTCAAAATGGCAAAATACAAAGGGGGCCGGTGGCGGTGGGGGAGGGAAGATGACATGGCTCCTTGTGAGGGTGGGGGGACGAGGGGAACGGGACAGGGGGAACCCTGGGCAGAGGGCCCAGTTGGGCCATGTCACTGTCTACCCTGGACATAATTTCAGAGGGCAGCCATGCTGATCTGCTGTAGAAGAGCTGGACTCCAGTCCAGGAGCAACTTGGAGACCAACAAGATTTCCCGGGTGCCAGCTCTCGAGAGTCACAGCTCCCTTTGTCAAATCCTGACGAGTGGTCCGTCTGTAGCAGTAGAAAAGAGCAGGAGTCCGGGAGCACCCGAAAGACTCACAACATTTGTGGCAGGCCGTGAGCTTTCGTGAGTCACTGCTCGCTTCTTCAGGGACAGCTGTTCTGGAAGAAGCGAGCCGTGCCTCACAAAAACTCATGGCCTGCCACAAATTTCGTTCGTCTTTTAAGGTGCTCCTGGACTCTGGCTCTTTTCTACTTTTGTCAGACGCTGACATTGGTGATCTGACAAAGGTAGCTTTGACTCACAAAAATTCATACCCCCCACCACCACCCAATCTTGTCGGTCCCTAAGGTGCTACCAGACTGGAATCCAGTTGCCTGTTCTGTCTTCTTCTTTCCTCCCCCATAAAGAATCAGCAGGATAACAGCGCTCTAAAGACCCACAACAGGACAGGCCAAGCAGTGAGGATTAGGAGGAAGCTTTCAGCAGCGGCTCTCTCAGGAACAGTCCGCTTCTGCCCCACTGGGACAGGCATGGCCTCTTTTCTTCACAGAAGGGTTGACATTTTTAAAAAGTTCTAATCTACCCCAACCTAAGGGCTCTAGGCAGGAACCCTGCTAAAGGCATTACAAAAAATAGTATAGCTAATAAACTTTCATTTATTAATTTGTTCATTAGATTTTTTTAAGTTGCTGCTCACCCAAAGGGCCTCACGGAGACTTACAGCATTAAAACCATAGAAACAGGTAAAAAAAAACAACATAAAACCAATAACTAATATAAAATTAACATTAAAATATTTAATTATTAAAATATGTGGATAGCACCATACTGCTAATAAAAACAACCCAAGCATGTGGATGACCCTCCACAGGCCAACCTAAACAATTTGGCCTTGCATGTCCTGCGGAAACTAAACAAGTCCAGCAGGGCACAGGTGTCATCCAGGAGTGCATTTCACAAGGAAGGGGCCATGACTGAGAAGGCCCTGCCCTGGTGACAGCTAACCAAGCCATCAAAGGCACCTGCAAGAGGCCCTTAAAAGGTGACCCAAGGGAGCAGGGGAGGGTGGTCCTGTAGGTGTGAAGGTAACCAGACTGTGAAGGGCTTTAAAGGTTAACAGCAACACCTTGAATTGGATCCAGAAACTGTTAGCCAGTGCAGCTGCCGCAGAATTAGAGTAACAACACGAGGTTTATAAGATTATGCATGATCAAGGTTTATAAGATTTATCCATGGGATAGAACAGGTTGAGAAAGAAGCCCTTTTCTCCCTTTCTCACAATACAAGAACTCGTGGGCACTCCATGAAATTGCTGAGCGGTCTGGTTAGAACAGATAAAAGGAAGTCCTTGTTCACCCAAAGAGTGATTAACACACGGAATTCACTGCCACAGGAGGTGGTGGCGGCTACAAGCATGGACGGCTTCAAGAGGGAATTAGATAAGCACATGGAGCAGAAGTCCATCAGTGGCTATTAGCCACAAGCAATGCTCCCTCTAAGCTGTGGAGTCTTGTGAGCAAACATTCTACTTTGCAAGCTACTGGCATTAAAGTTGTGAGCGAGCAATTTGGCTGCTGCATAAATTAGCTTGCTCTGGAGGTATCCTTCCTGCGCTGACGAAAATATGTGAGCAGGAGGCTCAAAAACTGTGAGCTAGCTCACACGAACTCAGCTTAGAGGGAACAGTGGCTACAAGGTATAGATAGGAACTCTCATTCTGAGGCAAGCGATGCTCTGTTTTCTTGGAGCTTGGGGGGGGGCAGTGGGAGGGCTCCTAGTGTCCTGGCCCCACTGCTGGACCTCCTGATGGCACCTGGTATTTTAGGCCACTGTGTGACTGAGTGTTAGACTAGATGGGCCATTGGCCTGATCCAAATTGGCTTCTCTTATGTTCTTATGAGTAATATAAGCTGTCCATGATGTTCTGGTCAGAGACCTGGCAGCTGCGTTCTGGACTGCTAGATTATTATCTAGTGACAGGTCCCTCGTCTGCCGTGGATGCTTGCCTGGTGATCCTGGGCCAGGGATTCTCTCTCAGCCTAACCGGCCTCAGAGGGGTGTTGTGAGGACAAAACAGAGGAGGGGAGAATGACACGGCAAGCGGCTTTGCCCTCCGCCAGGGACAGGGGACAAATATCCAAACAAATCAAATCAGGAAAATGTTTTCTTGGGATTCTGGACACGTTAAGAGGATTCCCCTTCACTTGCATACAACCTGTGCAGGATGAATGCTGGTGTCCGGATGCCTCCCCCCTGACCTCTTGGGATGGAGTCTGCAGTGGTAATTCTAACTCTCCCCCATGTGATCCCACGTCTACTCCTCAAGTACTGCGTTAGCATGCTCAAAATCCAGGCTGCCCTGCCTTTCTTTTCAGGGCATCTGGTTTCGGTGCTAGCACAGCCCAAGGAGGCCCCCAGTCCCGGTTGTGACTGGGACTTCCCCAACCCACAAGGCGTCCCCAGCCCGCAGAGAGATTCACCGGAGGACGAGGCAGCACTCGGCTTGACTGATCGGACGTCCCCCGTCACGCCGACAGCACTTACCAGGGAGGGGGGCGGCGGGGGAGTGGGGAAGACGACCGAGGCGAGTGGCATCGTAGGGGAGCTGCGACCCGGAGGAGGGAGCCCAGGACGAGTCAGAGCCAGCCCCCGGGAGATGCGGATGTCTGCGGTGTCGGAGAAGGGAGGACCGCAGACGGACCGGGGAACGCCAGCACCGGAAGCAGGGGGAAGGGCGAGCCCGGGCGTAGCGGCGTCTAGCCCTTTACAGGAGGGCGGGGCCAGCCAGGAGGGGGGGGGAAAGGAGCTGGGGAGTAATAAAAGGGAGGCGAGGCACTAGCTGAGGAGGACTGAACTGGGCTGGCTACAGCAAACTGGACTGCCGCGCAAGAGAGAGGGAGGCGGTAGAAGAGCTGTGTGCCTAAGAGGCCAGAAGCCAGAGACCAGTACGGGTCAAGAGGGTGCGGGAACCCTCTGGCTTGCCCGTAGTCTGAAGCTAGTTCCCTCCCCGGTGTATTAAAACCATGGCTCCACCGCTTCTGATCTAGGCGCGGGGCCCCTGTAGGCTGTTGTTGGTAGTGCAGGCAGTACGGCGACTGGCGGCTCAGACTTCCAGGACCACGCACAACGCAACACCCCCTTCCTGCCACCCGCTCACTTAAGAAACAGGATCCTCAACGTGCTTCTGGAAATCAGAGTTGAACGCCGTTAGTGTGAACCAGGCCTATACAGGCTGTGACCTATCAAACTGGAACGGGGTGCGAATCAGCAGCAGAGCATCTGTACAGCATACAAAAGGTCCCAGGTTCAATGCCCGGCACCTCTGGGTACTGATAAGTGCTGGGCTAGACCTTTCTCTGCCCAAGATCCTAAGACAACACTGAGCAAAATGGAGCCATGGCCTGACTCCGTGTAAACCACCATCTTCATTTCCAGCCTAGCAGCCCTGGATTGTGGCCGCCTGCTAGCTGCTCAACTGGCGGGGAAAGCAGGAGCTCTGGTGGGCTGCACATTTCTTGGCAAGTCTCCAACAATGCAGGTTGGATATGAACATGAACAGAGGTGGGCTGCAGATCCCAGGTAGTTACTCCTAACGAACAACTGCCTGGCATCTTTCTGACTATCAGCCTAGAGCTAACTGGAGAGACCTTCTCAGCCAGAGGTATTGCTAGGTACTTCTCAGTAGACGGAGACACAGACAGAGAGAGAGACAGACAGACAGAGACAAAACTAAAAGAACAGTATAAAGCCACAAAACCCAGTTGTGCTTGCAGCAGTTTGAAAGCAGCTGCCTGCGTGTGAGAAAATGAAATGCAAACTGGAAACACAAATGGGAACTGCAGAGCACCGTGGGAAAGCTCTACCAGGAAGCAAGGGTTATATTTAGATGCACCAGACCAGGCCGCAGCAAAAACCAGAGAGACCATAATCCACTTGGGCCTTTTCTTGTGCCACTGATGCAAACAGGACCTCCTGTTTGTTTGAAGACAGCCAGCAAAAGAGACAATCCTTGGAAGACGCACCCAGCTAAAAAGCATTGCCGAAGGTGCTTCAGGACTTTGGGGGCCTTCCAGCTCACAGTTCTTAGCCAGTATGCCAGGCTAGCTTTGCAGAGAGCAGATGCTGCCTTGGGCATGGTGGGTGGGGTGTCTCAGGGCACGGCAGTCTTCCTGCAAGTGGCTTCCCTGCTTACGAGGCAATGTTGAACAAAAGGGAGGTCGATCGCTACCTGCCGAAGAGAGCCTTGCCGTGCTGTTCTGCTGCCTGCCTCTCGGTTCCTGGGGTCAAGTGGAAATGAGAGAAGTCCCGCATCTCACTCGCGTCCTTCAGCTGCTGCAACGGGGCGTCTGCTGCGGACCCCTGCCGGCTGACCAGGCCCACCAAGTTTGAGGAGGCTTGGGTTTTTGGGATCTTGAAAGGTGCAGTTGCCTAAAATAATAATAATAATGAGGAGGAGGATTGGGGGGGGGGATTGGATTTATACCCTGCCCTTCACTACCCAAGGGAGTCTCAGAGCGGCTTACAAACTCCTTTCCCTCCCCCTCCCCACAGCAGACACCCTGTGAGGTAGGCGGGGCTGAGAGAGCTCTGACAGAAACTGCTCTTTCTTCAAGAACAGCTCTTATCAGAGCTATGGCTTGCCCAAGTTCATCCAGCAGCTGCAAGTGGAGGAGTGGGGAACCAAACCCGGTTCTCCCAGATTAGAGTCTGCACACTTAACCACTACACCAAACTGGCTCTTAACCACTACATCAAACTGAATTGGGTGCCTCTAACTTTTATTTTAGTTAACTGCTTTTTCCAGTGAACTGGTGTGAGGACTTGTTTAGCCTCCAACTCTGTTGCCATTGGCCTTAATGCATCCCTCAACCATGGCGGGGGGTGGGTGGGGTGTCACTCTGAGAAGAGAGGATGTGTCCCCGTGGCCTTTCCTGATCTTTTAAACCATGTCCAAGAGAGCCGGTCTTGGCGTTGCTCTGAAGCCCCAGAGCTGCAACCGAGTCCATCCCGCCCGGGTCCCCCTCCTCACCTTTGTGGGAGAGCCGATGATAGTGGGCAGGGGGGTCTTGAAGAGCCAGTCGGAGCTCCGGGGCGAGGAGCCCATGTGCTTGGTGGGCGATGTCCCCAGGCTGACTGGCCGGGTGGGCTGCGGGGAGTGGCTGTAGCCGGCGTACGATGGGCAGACGGGGTCCGAGTGCTGCTTCCGAAGCTTCTGCTTGTTTTGGTAAATGTCCGTCAGGGTTGGTGTGCTCTGCAGCCGGGCTCCTAGCAGGAGGGACTGTGGAGACTGAGACTGTGGGGCCGGGGAGCCTGGAGGGAGAGGGAGCAGGAAGGCGACACCCGGCGAGACTCTCCCTTCCAAGACCCTTTGAATTTGGCTTCCTAGAGAGCAGTTACAGCACTAGAACACACACACACACACACACACACACACACACACACACACACACACACCGGCTCTTTTCCTCCAGGGCTTTCCCAAATGAATTAAAGACTCTGTCCTCAGGCCCTAGGCCATCAGCACACCCAGCTATTTACAAGACTCTGCTGACTTTCTCAGGAAAAGGCAGCCCATTGACAACCTCCCGGACAACATCATCCTAGCAACTGTGCACGTTGAGGCTCTGTACACCAGCTTCCCATATGCAGATGGAATGCAAGCCATCAGGAATATCATTCCGGACAAAACCACAGCACATATTGCCACTGACTTACGATTACTTCATATTTGGCGACAACCTATATCTACAGGTCGACGGCACAGCCATGAGCACACATATGGCACCACAGTATGCACACATGGTCATTGCAGACTTCCTCAGCTCCCATCCACTAAAACCATTCCTGTATTTAAGGTTCTTGGATGACATCTTCACCATTTGGACTCAGGGGAAGGAAGCCCTTGAGTGAGTTCACCAGGACTTCAGCAACCTTCACCCCACCATCAACCTGAGCCTGGACCACTCTACACAAAAGGTACACTTTCTGGACACCACTGTACAACTACATGATGGACAGATAAATACCACCTTATACCGGAAACCCACCGACTGATACTCCCCTTACCACCTACATACCTCTGGCCAGTTTCTGCATACCCTTCCCATGCATCTGATGAACAGAGCTGTGCTTCTCAAAAGCTCATGCTACAATAAAGTTTGTTAGTCTTAGAGGTGCTATTGGGCTTTTTACTATTTCCCAAATGAAACACTCGTGTAGCCAGGCTTCTATTTGCATATGCGTGAAGGAAGCAAAGAACACCCAGAGAATGCAGGACTGGGCACAAAATCCATCCCTCTGAGATATACTTGGAGCAGTGTTCCCTCTAAGCTGAGTTAGTGTGAGCTAGCTCACAGTTTTTTAGCCTCCGGCTCACAGATTTTTGTCTTAGCTCGGGAAGGATGGCTCCAGAGCCAACTAATCTATGCAGCAGCCAAATTGCTCGCTCACAACTTTAATGCCAGTAGCTCACAGAGTCGAATTTTTGCTCACAAGACTCCACAGCTTAGAGGGAGCATTGACTCGGAGGAGTGCACCTGACAATACCTGAGAAGCCAGCCAGATGGCTGAGCGAGTATTTTTCTAGTGCTGGTGAAGGTGCTTCACAAAGAGGCTCTTGGAGACCCCCAGGTTTGGATCCCTACTCTGCCACGGAAGCTTGCTGGGTGGCTCTTGGGCCAGTCACGTATCCTCAAGCCCAGCCTACCTCACAGGGTTGTTGTGAGGATAAAACAGAGGAGAGCAGAATGATGGAAGCCCTGTGGGTTCCCCACTGAGAAGGTATCAATGAAGTAAATAAGATAAACCTTATAAAGTGGCTCCATTTGCAAAAAACGTACCCCAGTCGCAGAGTCCAGCTTTCCTTGGTGTGGAATCTGGATTGTCTCAGCATGGGAATTTAACTTTATTCAAAGCACGCTGGGAACATGACTTCGGCTCACCTTCACAACACCCTTACAAAGCTGGACACTTTTTGGTCATTCTGCAAGACTAAGCCGTGCCTTCCGTATCCGCCCCCCTTCACATGAGTGTAAGTCAGCCACTCTTTTTTGACCTGGTCAGCAGTTCATAAAGCATATAAGCATTATAAAGATCAAGATGGCTAGCCATGTTATTCTTTTCTACTGCTAGGTAAAGGTTTCCCTTGCTCGAAAGCCAGTCGAATCCGACTCTAGGGATGCAGTGCTCATCTCCGTTTCTGAGCCGAAGAGCCAGCACTGCCCACAGACGTTTCCGTGGTCATCTGGCCGGCACGACTAGATGCCAAGGAGTGCTGTTACCTTCCCACCAAAGCGGTACCTATTTATCTACTTGCAATTTCTTGCTTTCAAACTGCTAGGTTGGCAGGAGCTGGGGCCAGAGACGGGAGCTCACTTCATCTTGTGGCACACTCGGGTCTAGGACTGCGGAACTACCGACCTTCCGGTCTGCAGTTCAGCGTCTTAACCACTTGAGCCACCGCAGTAAACTGCTACAGACAGACAAAGAGACCAGGAGCACCTTAAAGACTAACACAATTTGCGGCAGGGTATGAGCTTTCCCGAGTCACTGCTCACTTCTTCAGATAACTGAAGAAGTGAGCTGTGACTCAGGACAGCTCATACCCTACCACAAATTTCTGTTAGTCTTTAAGGTGCTCCTGGACTCTTAGGCATTACAAAGATAGACTCAGGTGGGTGGCACCTTGAAGACCAACAAAGCTGAATTCTGGGCATAAGCTTTCGTGGCCAGGCACACTTCCGCAAGCATTATAAAGGAAGGGCCTCTTTCCCCTGCCTCAAATCCTTTCCCAGCCACAACTGTGGCTCACAACACAATCTCTACTGCGGTGGGTCGGCCCCAGAGGTGATGCACACATTTGGGGGCAGGGTATGAGCTTTCCCGAGTCACTGCTCACTTCTTCAGATAACTGAAGAAGTGAGCTGTGACTCAGGACAGAGCTCATACCCTGCCACAAATTTCTGTTAGTCTTTAAGGTGCTCCTGGACTCTTAGGCATTACAAAGATAGACTCAGGTGGGTGGCACCTTGAAGACCAACAAAGCTGAATTCTGGGCATAAGCTTTCGTGGCCAGGCACACTTCCGCAAGCATTATAAAGGAAGCGCCTCTTTCCCCTGCCTCAAATCCTTTCCCAGCCACAACTGTGGCTCACAACACAATCTCTACTGCGGTGGGTCGGCCCCAGAGGTGATGCACACACCCAGAAAAAGCACCTATTACGGCTGCACAGAGAGGTAGCATTGGGGTCTCTTTCATTTCTATTACTTCACCGCAAATTGCACAAAATGACTGCAAAAGAAAGGGACACCCTCCCTCCCCACCCCTCCAAACACCATGCACTGGAGAGATTTTTTTTCTGAGCCACAACAGATGACGGCAGAATTGCAGAAGGTCTACAGCAGAACTTCCCATGTGCTATCAGCAAAAGGACACAAGAATCCAAGGGAGCCATTCAAGGTCACAGCTTTGGCTGTGCGCCGTCCGCCCTGGAAGCAAGCAGTTCTAAGAAAACTGCGCACATGCGCCAAGTATTTGGGCCAGTGTCATTTTCTCAGTGTGTTTGAAAGTTTAGAGCTATGGGAACTGATCCAATACGGGCTCCCACAAGTTGTTTTTCTTTTAAGGTGGACCATGCAGCCAACAGAAAGACACCGCCTTGTCCTCAAAAAGGCAGGCCCCCCCATCGAACTAGACAAGACAGCGGGAGGACCGTGATCAGATCTTTGCAGCGAACACTACCAGAAGCAACGTGGGCCCAAAAAAGGAGGACGTTTCACCCTTTCCCACTGTGAAGTTTCCCCTGTCGACCCCACTGCCATCTCCCTCCCCACCAGTGCCGCCATTAGCCTTCAAAGGGAATAAAAAAAAACACACACAAGAGTTTCAATCAACAAAGCTGCTAATGAGTGCTGTAACCAAACACCTTCTCCATACGGTGTAATCCGACTCAGGCCCACGTACAGCTTCTATTAGCATTTTGCTTGAGGGGCCTGTTCGTGGATCTTGTGGCACCCTGTCTATTTTGAACACCAGCCTCTAGCTGCTAATGAGTGCTGTAACCAAACACCTTCTCCATACGGTGTAATCCGACTCAGGCCCACGTACAGCTTCTATTAGCATTTTGCTTGAGGGGCCTGTTCGTGGATCTTGTGGCACCCTGTCTATTTTGAACACCAGCCTCTAAATTTGTGAGACGGCTGCTAAGCGTACCGGCAGAACCAGGAAACGCTTCTCCCATTTGACAGAGAGCTCAGAAGTCTCTCTCTCTCTCTCTCTCTCAAGGTGTCAACTGATGCAATTATTTGCCACGCGAACCTCTTTGGATGAGCCTTCTAGGTAAAGGTTTCCCTTGATCGAAAGCCAGTCGAATCGGACTCTAGGAATGTGGCGCTCATCTCCGTTTCCAAGCCGAAGAAGTTTCCATGGTCATGTGGCCAGCATGGGTAGACGCCGAGGCGCACGGAACGCTGTTACCTTCCCACCGAAGTTTATCTACTTGCAATTTCTTGCTTTCGAACTGCTAGGTTGGGAGGAGCTGGGACCAGAGATGGGAGCTCACTCCGTCATGCAGCACTTGGGTCTCAAACTGCTGAACTACCGACCTTCCGGTCTGCAGTTCAGCGTCTTAACCACTTGAGCCACCGCAGCCTTCTAGAAACCTCAATAATTCCACCAATAATTCCACCTGTAAAAATGAGGCTAAAGTTTGCCTAGATCCAGGGGGGTTCGGACTTTTACTTGATCATTCAATAATAGTACCCGACACTTAAAATTGCACTCAGAAGAGTGGGAAGCGTTTCACACAGCCTTCTAATGCCGTCCTTGCACCAACCCCGTCAGGTGGGCTGGAATTACAATCTCCATATTGCGGGTGGAGGGCTTTAGGCTTTCCTGAAGACCACTGGGACTGCATCACAGTCCTTGAAGTCTGCTCACCTGAGGAGTTCCGGCTCCTGGCTTCGTGTCCTTGCGGCTGTCCACAGCAGCAGTGTCCAAGTTGCTCCGGTATGGTGCCAACTGAGGAAAAGCCAGGGAAAAAAACCCCAGGGATATGCAGTGATTTTCTCTTACTTATGGAACGCTCGATAAAACATACAAAATCCTCACTGCTGTCTTACTACAGCAACGTTTTAATCATTATGTGGCTTTCTTAAGTGACGCCGCGCCTCCGACGCTCTTGGGATGGCTGATAGGCACTTAACACTCTTGCTTAGATTAAAATGTTATACCTTAAAAAACTTCAGATACAAGGATTCAGATGCACCATGTTTCTGCTGTTTGGCCTGACCTCCCCCACCCCATGTATCCTTTAGACACCCCCCCCCCTCGGGTTTCTGGCTACTGACCTGCAGAGCTTCCAGTCACGCTCGCGTAATTCTGCAGCACACAAGCAAAGTGGGGGAAACATCCATTGCCCCTACCCTATCTTTTCAGGAGCTGAACCGACGAGGAGACAGAGCGCACACAAAGGAAGGGCTTGCGTATCTTACCTTGGTGACCCGTGAGGATTTGAGACGGGGCTGGCGGCAGAGGTCAGGTTCTGCTCGATGCGCTGGTAATTGCGCAGCTGGGTGGGAACCGGGATGGGCGCCGTCTCGCTGCGGGGGGAGACCGGGGGCTGGCACTGCCTGAGGGCACAAGTCAGCGAGAGGGGAAACCAATGCGGGCTGGGAAGCGGCTGCTCTCCAATCTGCACCATTGTCCGGAGTTACTGGGAACCCCAGGAAGAGGCGAAGGGGGCCCCGGGACTCTGCAGTGCAGAGCACCACTTGGACAGCTCCCAGCCGCCTTGCTCACCAAGCGAGACGGAGGACAAGGAGAGCTGCCAGCGACCTTCCCGCACAAAGAGCACCCGGGGACTTCGGCCTTGGCTGGGAGAATCAATCCCGCAGCTCGGGAAAGCAGGTCAGCTGAACCGAGGCAGGTCCCTCCCCGCCTTCCCCCAAGGCGGGCAGCCCCCGCCCCTCCAGCCCTCTAACGTTTCAAAACAAAGTCATTCTCAGAAAACCCACTGCGGAAAGAGAACAGGAAGTTCGAGGGCAAGGATGGCCGGCCCCCTCCGTTTGTTTGTTCAAGCCACAGAGGGGACGGGGGATTGAGAAAGAACACAGCTTATGCAAGCGGCTCCCTGACTGTCAATAAACCAGCCCGAGAACCACACCTGAGCAACAGAGAAAATCGCGGCTTTCAGTCAAGTGGGACGAGTCCATCAGCCGGTCAAACTCTCCCTTTGGGGCTCTCATACTCTGGGGCTTGCCATCTGAACATGAACACCCACCGAGCACCTCTGCACGTGCGCACAATGGGAAATAAGTACTGGGGTGATGCGCTAAGTGAACCTGCACTGTAGGGGTGGAAGCGGGGAAGCGGCGTCCTCGGCCCCAAAAGGCCAGGAGCATCAGGGTTCTGATGCCACAGGGAGAAAGACTGCGGGGCCTGGGGCATGGAAGACGGAAGTCAAAGCCCAAGTGGCTTTCGGCGAACCACCCCTGGCTCAACTTTCCTCACAGAGTAGACTGGCAGGAGGGGAAACTGTGAAGGAACGGGGGAGGACACAAAAATGTGAAAAATGCCTTGAATCTAAATTCACAAGCGGATGGGTCGCTGCTCACAAGTTCTCCCCAGAATCATTCGGCTATTATTGAAAAAGAATCCCTCTTCTTCACTTCGCCAAACACGTCTCCCAAAGACCCGTCCGGAGCCTCCAAGAATATACAAAGAGATCTTCCGGAGGACCCTCCGACTCGGCACTCACTTTCCGGCAGAAGCCTCTGCAGTCTGCATGCAGGGGTAGGATGGCACACTCCCTCCTGTGCAGTGTCCCCCTCATCTGGTACGGAGCTGCTTAAAGACCTCCCTCTCCTCCCTTCTTGGCAAAGCTGTACAGGTCAGTCCAGCCATCGACAGCTCCAAGCGCTCCGAGCTGCTCCAGTGTTGGGATTGGGGGGGGGAGTTTTTGAGCGACGCCTGGGAAAATGCTCCTTAGCACTGCTTGATCAAGGATGAGTGAAACCCCCTACTTCAGAAAGTTTCAGCAGCAAGATACCCTTGCTACAAAAGGGCCAAAAGAACAATTTAAGCCCATGGACCTACTTTGTCTTGTCACTGTGCCCTGCTCCTCTTCCTAAGGGAACAAGAGTCAGCTTGTACAATACAAGAACTCACAAGACAAGAACTTGTGGGGCACTCAATGGGATTGCTGAGCGGTCGGGTTAGAACAGACAAAAGGAAGTCCCTTCTTCACCCAAAGAGGGATTCACTGCCCTAGGAGGT